CCTCCTCGACGAATATCAACATATAAACTTTCACTAATCGTGAAACTGACTGAAATTTACCTCACTGACTAAGCTTACCTCACTGACTAAGCTGGCAAACGGTTGAACCACTAACGAAGTACCCATAATTAGTAAAAGATCACACTTGGGAAAATCCTGAACATTCCAAAATATTCACAAAGATTGAGCCGAACAGTGAAGAAGAGCTTACCGATATAGCACACTGGAAGAAACGTTTCGGTAGATTTTCTCCGAAAAAAATTATATCTGGTTTTACAACACCTTCACACTTGTCGCATCTTGGTACCAAACAGTTTTTATCCCTCAGGCGCTCTGGAAGCAACATCAGTCAAAACGGTTTCGTGACTAGATGAGGTCATGTCTTTACCTTCGAGCCACTGAAGATCGAACTTTTTACTGCATTGGGTACACGTGCTAGTGCGATGAGAACCGTGAGCAGTAACCACCTTTTCTTCGGGTATTCCAGTCAAAAATTCCAGTGAGTCGATGTTCTAATAAAACTATGGAATCACATAAAGAGAGAACCCGAAAAAAAAGAAAAGAATCCGATCACATAAATCATTCCGAAAAAAAAACAAAAATGCCATAGTGGCACATATCTGAAAACTATTTGCAAAAAACAGGTCGTGTATTCACCTGTGTGAACCACCTTCGTAGAATTCCCTTCTTTTCGAGCAGCCTCACAAAGTAATGGCATGGAGTTGGCTGAAATATCGCGTACAGAACAATGATTTCAGCGAGAGCTCAACCCTGATAGAACCTTTAGATTTTCAGGAAAAAGTTCTTTGGATAAAGCGAAGAACGGCTCAGGATTTTCGTGGAAGAACGAGATATCAAAAACTGCTTGCGGATCGGGAAGATTATACTTTTGCAAATTGTTGTACAAACCGGTTCCTGAAGGAAAAATAGGCTTCTTATGTTCAGTTACAAAGTTTCAGCACTCTAAAATATTTGTTCGAAAGCAAGTACCACAATTACTACTTAATGGACCTATGACCGACCTGGACTACGGAAGTCGGGTATTCCGGCAGAAGTCGAAATGCCAGCGCCAGTCATCACAACAACATTGCTCGGATGCTCCGTCTTCATGAAATCAGCTATACCTTCCAGAGTAAAAGACTTGAGTTTTGATTTTGCAACACAGTGTCCCTCTAAAACAGTAAAACAACAATTGAAATACAGGATTCTTACAGAACATTCAAATGAAGGACGCAGCGCTATTTAGGATGTGCTGCTGTGCTTCTGTGACTAAACGAAAGTATGCGGCACCAATGATGAGCACCAAACCCATCAACCAAGCACTCAATCCCCGCATGATACAGTGAGCTGCTTTACTCTAATGAAATGAGCTACGTATAAAGAAGCCGAACGACCGAGTAGTGATCGATTTGACCCCACGCTCTAGGCATCTCTTAAATGTTTCGCATCCCAACATTGCTACACCTCAATTCAACTGATATTATTCAATCAATTTATTACTAATTTTTTCAAACGTATCGCTTCAAGATTATTGTACCTGTATGTACTAAATAAAACCTTTCGACGGCTAAAATGAAAATTAAGCGCGATTAGGGCAATAATGAAGGTATAGACACATTCTTTGGGTTATTCGAAGTCTGCAAGTGGAAAGAGAAATAAATAGCAACGCAAAAATAGCAGAACACACCTGAGCCCGATTTGACAGCACTACTCACAGTGCTTGTTACAGTATTGAGAGCATTTTCGAAACTTTCAACAAATCGGCTGTATAGGTCAGACTTCGGAGGCGCCTTCGCTTCATCGGGATTGTGCTCTGTTTCGCCTTCCTTACTCGTTCCAGCCTTCCGGTTGCGAGCATTAGCGTCTTCAGACATCCTGAAATGTGAGTAAAAAGAAAAGAGAGATGCATCCTTACAACCAGAATCGTTCGTGAACTGATGAATATACTGGAGGGGTTTGATTGAACAAAATCCTCGGCCTGATCAATGAAGCCATACGTCAAGAAGGAAAGACCTTAATTACTGGGTGATCCCCTTGACAATACTGGGAAGCGGTAGCGGTATGGAAAAGCGAGGTAAACGCTCCTGCATCGCGCAACTCGCATACCCCTTCAACTTCACAAACCTTGATCTTCACTATAAAGACTCCTTACTATATATAAACCACGAGTTGGGTGTGCCCGTTTGTTTGTTTGTCTGTTCGTTTGCCTGTCACAAAATAAGGAAATAACCATAGATCGGGTTAAGAAGTTTGAGATAATTCGGACCCACAAAAAGATCAACAGAGCAGATATAATCCAGCGGAACGCCGCCACAAGGGGCGGGACATGCATCGGAGTCGGCGGTGTCAAAGGCAAAACTTCTTGTTTCGGCATCAGAAGAGCACAAACAAGAGGAAAAAAATTGGCAGAGGTTAGGAATGGGGCAACAAACCAGATGAAGGAGAATCATCGGCGGAGGGCGGAGCGTCCTCAAAGCTTGCGGCACTTTCTACATGAATTCTTAACTCTCATTCGACGAAGCCGGGAGATCAGGAAAAAACTGCTGGATTGAGCAATGTCGCTCGTTTGGAAGCAAATTTTGGGAAGGCATTGGCTGTGTTACTTAGATGCTGTACCTTAGCAAAACAAAGTTATTCCTGAAGCCGGATGCTCAACCGTTCTGTCGTCAAAAACGACTGGTATCATTTGCTATTCGGACAGCCGTCAATACCGACATTGGCCATCTACTTCAAAAGGGCGTTCCCAAAGCTGCCGGTTATTCAAATCGGCTAAAACTTATAGTGGTTGAGAAAGAAAGAACACCCACTTCCGAAAATGGGATAAGTTTTTTTTTTATGAAACTTAACGGCGGTGAACTGCTTTCCCAGGTCAGATCGATGAGACAGACAAATAGGAATGGAATGAAGATCACCTGCCAAAAATTCATTAGGACACCGAATTCGAATACGTTGAAGAGGAAAAATTTTAAAAAATGCTCGGTAGGAAAATGATGCGGAACTCTTCAAAACGTTGGCTTTCCCAATGAGCTTTTTTCAAAGACTTTTACCGACTGGCATCATCTTCGCTTTCCTCATCCTTTTCCTTTCGAGCATTGGACTCCTAACTATAAACTAAGCGCAATTTGAATCTAAAAGTTACGGAGCCGGTACATTGTTAGCATTCACTGTGAGAACACTGCTGGCACAAGGCTATTACTGTTCCCGCTATTCTGTTCCCTCGATGGGAGGCTGAAAGGTAGTAAGTTAAGAAAAACATAGGAGTCGGCTTGGTTGATTTCAATGTAATTTGGTTCCGGACTTTGAGAAAGTGTGAAAGCCTGCGTGGACCAGACAGAATTTGATCCGAGAATATCGCCAGTCGATGAAAGCGCAGGAAAGATAACACTAAAGCTTGTCATAAAACAATGGGATTTTTCCTATGACCTCTTTTAGTAATAGCAAAATGCACTTTATGTTAGCAGAAACAGAGGGATGTCGCTAGAGTCTTCAACAAGCTTTGGTTTAGTATTTGCGGAAGTCGAAAATCTTTTCGTGACCGCTGCAATGCTGTGAAGCCACCTTTTTGTTAGGATGTGTTTTTCAGCCACCAGAAACCTTGACTCGGAGCGGAAGTTGGCAGCCTTCGGATGCTCACTAATGTACAAATTACTGTGTTCAGCCCAACAACATCTTGAAACAACATCTTTAAATTTCTAGACGAGGAACTTGTAACTGTATGAATCACTGCCTCGGGACATGAAATGAATGGGAGCTCTGCGGTACAACTCTACTCGTAGTTTGGCGACCTAATCTCGAATCCGAATATTCTTTCAAAGCCTCTTGTCCATCAATTAGGTTAGAGGAGAAAGCCGCAGCTACGGCGTCATGCCAACAGCGGTCCCACGGTGACAGTTGGAGAAAGTTCCCAGCCGTAACCTGTAGATCCGAGTGGCGCCAACTATCAGGTTGGAGCATAAGCCTTACGACACCTTCATAACTCCAAGTTATTTTTGTGCTCGCAAAATATTACAGAGACTATCAAGACTATCCATGAGCGTATGACAGGGGTACCCGAAAACTGGAGATTACAGCAAATAATCCGGAAAACCAGCGAATAGTGTAGCAATATGATGAGTTAGCCCGGAGTTGCAAGGACCACACAGAAAAAGAATTGCGGCATTTGGTTGGACGATCTATATCGCCTGGTTGTGCGTGAGTGTTCTTTAAGCCTACCATTTATTTTATACTCTGAAGCTTCCTATCGAAGGGAGAAGCCTGGATGATTTGCAACACATGAAATCAGCATTCGAGAGTTTTTCAAATCGCAGTCTAGAAGGAGTAACTGCAGAAGCTCAAGACATAGGTAATAGAAAGTAATAGCGAATAGCCTAAAAAAGACGCATGTGTCGCAAGACTTATGCGCCAATCTAATGTAACCTATGAACATAGCGTTCAAACTTGCTGACAGTTTCATGTGACGAGGGCGAAGACAGCATGCGTGTTTCCTCAAAGAACATACCGCCCCCATACACTCACGGTAGTATATCGCGCCGACGGCCTGTGACGTTGACTTTCGATTTCGAGAAACGACTACCGCACACTGAAAACACTAGTTTTTGGAGTGAACATTCTGAAGCACTGTAACATTTTACGCGCAACTACCACGGGAGAAGGGAGAAAGAACTTAATTTTCAAAGTGTTTGGAACAGTCATTGGCTGCTTCCATAGTCCGCCGGCCGGCTCCGCAAGCGCGCGCGCGTGCCGGCCGGCGGCGGCGCTGGCCACTTGTCGACAACACTGGCACGTGATCCATCGTTGCCCAGTGTTTTCAAGAAATTACTAGCGCCGGAGCCGCCCTGCACGCGCGCACGCTCGAGGGGCTGACCGGCGGCATCTCAAAGCAGCCACTGGGCATTAAAACGGCTAAGAAAGAGAAGCCAATAGCAGAATATGGAGAGGTAAGAGCACACGTCGAGTTATGTCCTATTAGTGATGGATGTCAATATCTGCAATCACGAACAGCAACTTGTCCTCAATTTAGCTCTGGGATACTAATTGCAATATTCCTGCAGAGCTTGTACACAAAACCTTGGAAGCAAGTCTCTGCTGAAAAACTGACTATGAACGGCGGTTTTTGGAAAAGACTTAAAATCTCGCTAGGAATTTTAGTTCGTTGATTGAATCCGGGAGACCCTAGGCATTCGCTCCACGAGTTTCCTTGAGTGCCCTCCTCCTCACAGGTTGCGTTCCGTTGCGTTCACACTAAGCGCTGATCCAGTGGGCCAAGGAGCGACGGGTGACAGGCGACACAGGCTCAAATGTAGCGGCAGGGCTGACATGCGACAGCGTCGATGCCTGTGTCGACCAATGACTGCTTTCAGACTTCAACGACGCAACCGACGACGCCGACCGACGGCGGCACTGGCCACGAGTTGACAACGCAGGATACCGTTTTATCGCACCCTAACTTGTCACGCGTCCTTGAACGCAACCTTCCGGCGTTGTCAGCCTGTAGGGGTTTTCAATCCGTTCGAAATGCATGTTTTGCTCTTTCATGCACCAACTGGATGCAGATTCTACGTTTACTGCGTAGCTTTCTCAAAAGACAGCCTCAAATTTCCGAAGAGGGCTTCCTCGATCCCTTTTGGCTAACACATTTCGAGAGCACTTTCACAGTATAATGACCTTAGTGTAAGATAGTTTCAAAAGCGATAGAAGTAAGTTATTGACTCCTGGAGTACCGATCACATGGCCTTTAATACTGCTATCTGAACAATATCCTGTCCATCGCCTGTCACCTGTCGTTCCGTTAACAATCCATTTCCTCAAGCGGTAACGTCTCCATTGGTCCCTGGCGCGAGTCAGAGTAGTCCAATGAATCGTACTCGCTCGAGGGGCACGGGGCAAGACATTACTTTCGTTCAGAGCTTTTGTGTAGATGCTGTCCATCGCAATGGCGGCCGTCGTGGCGTTCGTTTGACATACCGAGCGATCCGGTCAGTAACCGCCCTGGTCCAACGGTCAACACTATGTCGCATGACCTGCCCGGCTCATCTGATTTTTGATTTCTTGGCGTAAATAGTGGCAACACTGGCTGCTTTCATAGTCCGCCGGCCGCCGAGCCGACGTGCC